CTCCATTTATCAAGATTCTTTTGAAACTAATTATAAGTGATTTAGCTGTAGATAAATAAGGCTGGCGTATGGACTCTGAGGTTTATACGGCCGGGTGTCCGAAAGCAAGATGTAATACTGTAAAAACAGCAACTTACAACACTGCTCTAAGTATCTTGTCTATAATTAAGATATATTCATTATTCATGCATTAATAAGCAAGCAAATGGCTCCCCTTTGCGAACATTACAGGTTACTTTCTCAAGTATTAGATGTAAAAAAAAAAAAAAAAAGAAAGAATAAAGAAAAGAAACACGAAGACAAAAATTTAAATCAAAGGCCCTTATGTATTAAAGGCATGATGAGAGATTTTTATAAAGGTACTGGAATTCTTTTCAGTAACCCTCGGTAACTAAGAAAGATATGTAAGCGATACTGTAAGATTAGCTTCCAGTTTTTTCTACTTCCCTTTTGAATTGGCATGCATGATAGCGAAGTTTACCGCTGCCAAATTAAAGATACATCGTAGAACTTTTTGTTTATGTAGCCTTGCTTGAGGTACACTGTAAGCAGATCGGATCTATAAATCTAATTATTGTGATCAGTTTTTATTTCCTCACAGTGTTTATGGTGATTGGATTTAAAACGCCTGAGTCATCGTGAATCTTGGAAAACTCAGCCTGAATTGTTCCGGAAATAATTTGAATATATCAACAAAGTTGAAATGGTAAATTGGCCACCGTTACGGTTATAAAAGCTGACGTTTCGAGCGTTAGCCCTTCGTCGGAGCGAATCAATTGTTCGAGTTCGCTATTTTCTTTCTTCCCAACTTTGATTGGCTAGAATCATCTGAGCTCCTTTTCGGTTTATTCATACCTAATTGACGTTTGACAACCAAATCGAAAGTTTTTACCTGAAGATTTCAACAAACACTGAAAAAAAAAAATCTTGAACCGTGAGCGCAAAGAGTCCGAAGGACTTTACAATTGAAGAACTCTCCCGAATCAAACGGAGTGAGATAGGGAAGCACTCCCACCACTCCAGACTAAGAGAACTGCTTCCACCACGTGGCATTTTGCCAGTGTCCACGATGATATCAAGAACAGCTTTAAACCGTCAGACCACGGCATTACCCAGAACTCAAGGTTGAACTAGAATTGAAGCTTTTGTTTCATTTCTACGATTCAAGTGTGCCTTCTTCCTTAACTTGAATTTATTTTTGGACGTTTATTGTTATTTTTGGTGATGTATCAAGTGGTTAGCGTTCAGAAATAGCAGGATCACTGTTTTTCTTAACATGCTAGCGTCCCTCATACTCTTAATCTAATCTCAATATGAAGGAAATCCTGTTTTAGACGTCTTTTATAGTCCGGGACAACTGAGTAAGCTCAGCGTAGTTGTCATTATTAGAATTTTGCCTCGAGAGCATTATAAAAAAAAATCATAGATAACCAGGCGTAGTGGTTAAGGTAAGAATCTTCTTTACTCATGTTTGCTACTGTCTAACTTTATAAGTGCGACAATTTTCGCATAAAATACAAACGAGGACGGACATATCACTAATGAGGCACCAAATCGGATAGGAGTTACGAAGAACGGAAGTTTCCGTGTGTGATAAGCCTTTAGCCATCAACATAGGGTATGGGCTCCATCTGTTTTTGTCACGTATGACCTTAGAAGCCGAGATACTCTCAGTTATGGGTAACAATACTCTGTGGCATTTAAAATTTTCACCCCCAAGAGAGTCAAGTCCCTCTCCTGCCTACTTCCGATAACCTCTTTCCAGATGCAAAAAAATGCAATTGTTTTTGCAAAACTTCACCGAGCTCGTCAAAGAACTTAGCAAAAGTTTTAATGAAGAATCATTTCGGAACCAGAAAAGAAAATTAAATGATGATGATGAATTTTACTTTTAAAAGTGTGAGTGGTGGAAAAGCCTCTGAGCACTTCATTTACATAAATTAATGATATCTGTTGTCATCCATGGTTTAAGATGCTATACATATATCGTGTAGCTCGGCGTTGTAGTTTAGATAGAACGGAAGAAGTGTGAGAAACACAAGGCATCGGAAGTACAGCTTTAAACAAAAATTACATTAGCATCTATGATACATAGACAGTTGAAATCTTTTCCTTGACGTGATTAGAGTCAACTAAACAAATTTGAATTCCGATATAATGAATATATGAAGTTCATATATTTTGAACTGCGGTATTAAATACGTATGATGCACGATCCTTCGCAAATCTGG